CTAAGTTTTCTGTGAAGAAAGGTATATTGCATAGGATATGGGGGGGTGACCCTAAAGATGAAGGGGGAGTAGGGCACCCCAAAAGTTGAGGGTTTTATTGGCAAAGGGGACACAAACTAATGCTCAGAGGCACCGCGGGTTTTAATAAAGGTACTCGGAAAAGCTTTCATCATCTTTCAAGATAATTGATTCAATTTGCTTTTCTCCTGAAAAAGAGGAAAAAATAAAACAATTTTTTAATATAAAAATTAAAAATTAAATTTTAAATTTATAATTAAAAATATAAGTAGTTAATGTTTTTTTTTTTGAATCATGTGAAAAATAAACTTAAATGAGAGAAGACATGAATATAAAATTAAATTAAAGACACTGATCAGCAGAGTAAAAAAAAGGTAAAATCAAGAGAATTTCAGCTTAAACAAAAGTCAAAAAGTTAAAATCGACTTTTGTAGTTGGGGGAAGCGGCTATATTATTTTCAGTTTGTAGGGTGTAGTAGATTCATTATTTTCTTGGAAAATGATAGCTCGGCCAAAAACTAGTACAATAACAAAAAGTGACTGACTCTGGTATGTGTATGTTTACTCATTTTATATGATCAGAAAATTTTAGTTTTCCCATTTCTTCACCACTTTTTAGCATATACAGACATCAACTCATCCATCATACTCATTTTTTCCCATATCCAAGTACAATTCGCTATTGCCTCATTTGATTTAGCCTATTACCTAACCATCTCATTTATTTTCATGTGTCACTATATGGCCACTGTTTTATCTTTTAGATTTAATTTAAGTACTCAGGTTTTTCTAATTCAGAATTTATTTTATATTAATCATTGTTTTTTTATATATTTTTTTATTTAATCTCTTTAATTATCTATTTTATCATAAAAATTCTTTTTTTTTTAAAAAAAAAAATCTTCTTTAAGAGTAATATAAGTTTAAAAAATAAAATTGTCCTCAAAATTTTTAATGTGAAAATAAAATTAAAAAATGACTATTATTATAAGACAAAGGGAATAAATTCTTCTTTAATGTCCTACTTTTTTTTTTCATGATTAAAATGGGAATTTGTGTGGAATACATGAATTGAATCGATCTTTTCTACCATATTAGAGAATAAAAACATAAGCATGTCTTCCAAATTGCAATTAAATGGCTTTTGTCTCATTAATTAATCACATGGATTAGGTGGACCAATTACACGTTATACCAATTTGATGATTAGTATGGGATATCAGTTTTTTTCTTAAAGCCATTCTAGTCCCACTAATACTAGTAAAATGCTTTAGGATCTTCAATTAACATGGGACATCATTTTTTCTGTTCTGTTAGTATTTCAAAACCTAATAAAATAGTCAAAGTTTAATCTAATTATATATTTGATTACTAAATTAATTTCATTAATGATGGATTAATAAAACCGAGTTTTAGTATGTATATACATGTTCAATAAAAGTTTCATCAAGAAATGAACTGTCCTGAATAGTATCACTGTATCAGTGCGGCCAACTGCAGTTACTGCAATGTTTCAACAGAATACGCAAGAAGAGAATTCCCGAAATCTCACATTTCAACTTGGGAAATTTAGTATGTGTCTTTTCCTCTAGAAAATCAATTGTAGCAACAACCCCCATTAAACCCCTCTTGGCTCCCATCCTAGCCTTTTCACAAGTTCTCCAAGTATTTATTTATTTTTTATTTTTTTTCCCAATTAGATGGTATTTTAAATGAAATCAATTAATTTCCATGTATCTAACTCTATAGTTTCGGTTCGATCAATGATAGATCATTATACATGCTTTTTTTGGAGAGAAATTTAAAGAGTGGCCCCAAATTCTTAACTACGTATGTACGTACGTAGATATTGTTTGGATGCAGGTGATTTAATCTGCTGCACATGAGAAGCCTTAAGCAGCTAAGCCAAACATATCCTTGTGATGTATATCAATAATGTCTTAAAATGGGCTGATTTAATCATTGATACATCCACGGAACATTTGGGGCAGTAGTGATGACCACCGTCTAAGGGTGTCTTATATATTGATGAGAGGAGAGTATCTCACAATGTAAATTGACATATTTGCCACCCCCTTGCCTTCCCTCAGCCTTGTTTAGAGGAAGGCTAATCTGACTTTTCCCTCCCCCCCACCCTCCGTTAGTAAGGACCATCTTTGCAACTACCCAAAATCAATATAGCTCCAATTTCTCGCGATATTATACACATCAACATATAGTACAAACATGAGAAAATGAATTAATGTCATAATGTGGGCCATGTGTTAGTAAAAGAAGGCTAAAAGCCAAACATGATTAATTTGTGGGATTTAGGGATTTATTATGATCTTTGATGAGTGGTTGTAATCAAGGTAAGTGTATAAGACCAAATTAGGGATTTGGAGAAATATAATAATTAATCACGAATAACAAAATATTTGTTTGTTTATTTATTTATTTATTTATTTTTACTTTTCCTAAATTTAGGATTTGTGAAAAGGAGCACCAAGCTAGTGTTCGAAAGCAGAGAGTGTACATGTGTGTGGGTTAGAAAGGTAAGTATGAGTTGTTGTCGAACAGATTCACACGATTTAGTGTA